AAGTAGCCATTGATCGAGGAATGGAGGTGAGAGAGCTCTGGTGGGGACTGTGGTCAGTGGGGTGGCTGGGAGGCGGTGCTTTCACAGCACTCTGACAGCACAGCTGGGAAGAACCCAGGGACTGGATTCTTGTAACATTCAATGCCATGGGTGCCTTAGTTTACCCATCTACAGCATGTAACGTTTGACCAAGTGACATTCCAGATTCATTTTATCCTCATCTTTCTCCCTTGGAGAGAAGGAAACTGAGGTTCAGAGAGGGTAAATGACTCATCCAGGTCACAGAGGCAAGAATAAGGACCAGGTCTGTGTGGGTCCATGTTCTTGGGTTTGTGCTGAAGGTCAGTGATGTGGCCTCAAGGAGAGGGCTCAGGGAAGAGTCTTGGGTGCAGCTAATCCATCCCACCTCAACTTACTTGATCGTACATCACACACTGAATCTAGAGCTGAGCCGAAAACTGGGACACAGATAAGTCAAATATGGCCATTGCCCCAAAGGTGGGGAGGGGGTTAGATACAGACTCAGATCACTAATAAAAGGGTACCAAGCAGAGAGACACAGTGGAGAGATTAAAGCAGCACTGTCCCATTGGGTAGTGCGGAGTTAGAGGATATTTTCTAGAGTTGGGCCTTGGAAAGGACGAGAATTCCAGAAAAGGCAAAAAATATGAGCAAAAGCAGGGATGCGTAAATAAGCAATTTGACTGAATGGGAGTAAGGGGTGAGTGAGAACAAATCATGGAAGTTAGGGGCATGGGTTCTGGTGCTGGGCTGTCTGGGTTCAAAGACCTGCTTTTCCACATACTGCTGTGATTTCAGAGAAATTCCTTCACCTTCCTTTACTTCAGGTTTGTCAACTGCACAGTAGGGATAACCTTTGTTGTTAAGATTACGTACAGGAAGTACTTCTCTGAGAAGAGTGCTTGTGAAGCAGCAGTAATAGTAGCACTGAGCAGCAGAGGCTGCGGAGTTGCCAAGGGCCACATCATGAAGGCCCAGGACCTTATTCCTGAGGGCAATGAAAGCCTGTAGTTCACTAATGAGAGTGACAGGAGGCATGGTGAGGCAGCCCATGAGGAGAGAACACTGTCTGGGAAGGCGCAGTTCATGCACAACCTCCGCAGCACTACAGGCTGTGCAACCCTCCCCACAGGCATGGTGAGGCAGCCCATGAGGAGAGAACACCTGGAAGGCACAGTTCATGCACAACCTCTGCAGCACTACAGGCTGTGCAACCCTCCCCATTGTGCTCACAGCCCCTATTTGTCCCAGCGTGGTTTTGTCAGTTATGGTGTTCTCTCTCCAGGGAATTCCTTATCATAATCATCTCTGTGCGTGACTGGCATACAGTGAGACTCAGTAATTCTTTACTGGAGGAAGCCATGAACCAACAGAATAGTGTAAGCAGTAGGGTGGGCTAGCTGTCAGTGTAGATGGAGGTGGGCAAGGTCAGGCTTATTCAGGTTTCTTTCTTGCAGGTGGACATTGCATCAGGGATGGCCATTGAAGGGATGTGCTATGCCCAGGTACGTGGTCACTGCCAAAGTCCATGCATGCTTGTAAGCAGAGCCTGGGCCACAGTGGGGGGCTCATGTGCAATCCATGACCAATTTAGTAGGTTCCTCCCAACCCAAAGGGTCTCTCTCAATGACACTTGCCCCTCCCAATCAGCCTGGGCTGATCCCAGAGGAACCACACTGCTTCTCTCTGGGACTGTTTCCTCCACTATCTGGTGGTGGTACATTCTGTCCCCACCTAGAGAATCACAGAACACAGATGTCCTTGAGAGGAAGAATGGCTTCCACTGTCTCTGTACCAGCGGCCACTTAGAGGTCAGGTTAGAGTGGGATGTCAAGGCCTTGCTTAGTACAGCCTGCAGGCTGTGTGTGTTTGACGAGGCGGGGGTGGTGGTGATAAATCTGGGGCTGACCTATTTAGACCTGACTCCTGGGTGAGTCAAAAAGTACTAGCCTCAAGGTCAACAGATATCAAAAGTCCTCCTACACAGGGGGTCCTGGAACTTGCAGGGGCTGGTGTGAAAGAGCTACACCCAGGCTTCAAAGCCAATTTCTTACTGTGAAGTCTCCTATCAGACTGCTCAGGAGACTCTCAGTTGTTTGGAGGCATGTAAGCTGGGTCAAGTAGAGGCCACCAACAGGCTAGATTCTGAAGGCGCAGCCTGCCTTCTTCAGGAAACTAAGGAGCCATGAGGCCCATGCCTTTGCATGGCCCGATACCTGAGTCCACAGACAACAGAAAGACTTGGACCCTGCCTTGTCATGGGCTGGACAAACTTGAGCAAGTCCTTCTTGGCCTCTAGCCCTGCACCCCAACAAACTAATATTCTGTTGTTGTTTCAGAACATCCCCACCCAGGACCGGCTAGAGGGCATGGCAGCCTTCAGGGAGAAACGACCCCCTAGATTTTTGGGCGAGTGACTCCCAGATAACCTCAAAGGGAAATTTGCAATATGACTGCCCTCATTCCCCATCTCCGGGCTTTAGTTTTCTCACAAGGACAACAATGGATATAAAATGGTTGATGTGGTGCCTGGTACTAAGGTGCTGACTTTGCCACCTACCGCTATCATCATTATTCCCCTCCCTGTGTCTATAATCACTGGGGCACAGTTTGCTTTGGAGAATGCCTGTCTTTCCCCACTCGAATGATAAACTCAGGATTAAAATAGATCCCACTGTCGCCTTTGTAATTGCTGGCTCTCAGGCCTGATCTCTGTCTTAGTGAGCAGGTGCTCACCAGAGATGGCAAGAAGTAGTACGGACCCCCCAGTTGCTAACTATACAAGAGAGATCATAAGGAAACCCTGGTAGAGGATCAGGTGCCAGGGATCAGACTGCAGATTCCAGCTCTCTACGTTACTCACTGTGTGCTTTAGCTTCCTCATCTGTAAAATGGAATTGCTGTGAGGGTTTAAATAAATAAAACGCCTCCTGGTCAATAAATGTGAGTTATTAATGTACAGTGTTGCGAGAACCAATCGAGATCATTGTTGTGGAAACCTTTTTAAACAGCAGGGTGACAGGCCACTCTGTACTTGCACTAAATAGACTTCGGGAGCATCGAGAAGGAAGCGATTAACTGACGGAGAGAATGGGGGGTCAGGAAACAGGTAGGTAACATTGGAGTTGAAGCCGGAAGTATTAGTAGACATTTGATGCAAAGAAGAGGAAGGTTGAGGGGAACAGCATGAGCAAAGGTGAACAAGAGGAGGGCACACGGAGGAACAACGGGGGCTGATATGCATGTATGCACACTGGTCTCGGGAGCCCTCTTGCTGCACTAAGGCAGGGGAAGAGAAGGCTCCTCCCACACCAGGGCCCACGGTCATCCTTTAACAGAGCTCAGCTTTGCCTGAACTCCTGAGCCGAGGCCTAGAGCCTCTAAGTCATGGGCATGGACACATACCAATAATGTTGTTAATTTGCTGCTAAATACAAATGTATCCACGGCTGTGCGCACTTCCTGAAAGGGAGAGTAACACAGAACAGCCCTGGCCTTAGAATCAGCCCCAACCTCTCAAGGTGCTAGCTAGATGGGAAAGTAACAACCTTACTGAACTTCCTTTTTCTCACCTGTTAAACGGAGAGGCAAAAACCCCAGATGATGGTGTGAATCATGGGGAGACAAAAGTTGGAGAGGTGCCTAGGGTAGAATGGGCCTCCACAGGCACTGTCCCACCACATCCTCACATTATCTGGTAAAAGAATGTTACAAAGTCCCAGAACCCGGGTCAGGAAACTAAGACAGATTTTTGGAATCATGCACAAGAGTGAATGAGAGAAAATACAGGGCAGTTTCAGGACTGTAGGAGGCTACAAATTCCCTTTCCCCAGTGGGACGCTGGTGAGCAATAGTTTGGAATGTCGTTTAGAATAAGTCTCATTTCATTCCTAAAGATGGCACATATCCTTCCAGTTAAGAGTGTGGTCAAAGAAGAGAATCAAATTGTAGTCCTAAAATATGCTAATAAAAAAGGAATTTATTTTTGTTCTTTGAAAAACTTAAAACACATGAATGACAAAATATGGTTTGTTAGTTGTCAATAACAAGGCAAGAAAGGAGTCCATACTCCATTCTACAGAGGGGGCTTGCAAGGGCACAATCAAAAGCTTCTGACCATTTATATTGTGATAGAGGCTGGTTGTCAAAAAAGCCCGTATGTTTCTTGTCACCCGGCTGGGTAAGAGCACCTCTTGAAATCTTTGGCAAAGACTTTTTGTGGCTCTTTCTCTCCCTCTCAGTTCTGGTCACAGTTCTACTCCAATTAAAACTCTGAGGGACTGAGATTTACAATCCCCATACAATCTTCCATCTACACACTATTCTCAGTCCTGTCTCACCATGCCCCCGCAGCAAACCCACATACCCAGAACGTTATACCACTCAGTCCAACGTGTAAAGTTGAGGGGAAAGGGCCACAAGAATATCAAAAGCTGCAAAAAAATATGTTTCTTTTTCCTCCATCCACAGTGGAATGTACTTTGGTATCTACTTACAGAGAAAAGTAACTGGCACAGTTCCAACATACATTCACAGGTCTTCCCAGAGTCCAGGGCTTGATTTTTCACAATTGCTGAGGGAATGTTGTCAGAATTATTTCAACCTGGTTTAGGGTTATGGCCATCATAAAATACAATCATTGGTAACTTACAAACACCATTAATAAAAGATGGTCGCCCTGGCCAGTGTGCTCAGTGGTTAGGGTGCTGGCCCACACACCAAAGGACCATGGGTTCAATTTTCAGTCAAGTGCACATACCTGGGTTGCAGGTTTGATTCCTGGCCCTGGTTGGGGCATGTGCGGGAGGCAGCTAATCGATGTCCCTCTCACATCGATGTTTCTCTTTCTCTATCTCTATTTCCCTCCCTTCCACTCTCTCTAAAAAATCAATGGAAAAAATATCAAGTGAAGATTAACAACAAAAAAATTAAAATTAAAAAAACACACGCATATAATCAAAATATACACACAAAAAATTAAAAATAAATTAAAGATGGCCAACTCATAAATTCCAACAATAGGTTTCAACATTCAGTGGCTGACGGGATGGAAGATCTGCCTGCCCTTGAGGACCAGAGCACCGCTGAGGCCCCTTAGGTTAAAAAGGGCATTTAGCACAAAGGGAGTCTCTGATGATTCGTGAAGTGCACTCTGAAGTCATCAAGAATGGAGGCTGCAATCTGCTGTGCTTGGGGGTCTGCCTCGCTGTGCTCCTGGATGTCACACAAAAGCTGCAATCCTCCTTCTTCAGCTAACATTTTGCAGTATTTGCTGGCTGGAAGAAAATTAAGCAAAAAACTTGACGGGCAATTTGGTATTTTAAGGATTCCCAAGTCACCACATTCACCTTTTTGAAGCAAGGGTACAAAGTTTTAAGCCCTCTGACAGAGGAAGTAATCTAAAATAAGTCAGTTCAAAAGGAACAGTCAATTCAAACTCAAATAATGCTTGGCTTGTGTAGTGACCAAACAGATGAGTATTTTAATATGTTTACTTCCAGGCAACTCCATGATTCACATATCTCTAACCTTAGCAAAAAGGGTTAAGAACAAGAACATCTTTTATTACAAGATTAATACACATTTCAGGTTCAGGCAATATGATGAATTAGATAAGCTGAAGACACCAGATGCTGGATAAAATATAACTGAGAAATATTTAGATGCAAAGTTGAATGTACAAAGTAAAGATAATGTCCAGAAGCCAGATATATAGAGAAGAAAACACCTAATGTACATAACCTAACCTGCAGCTATTCCGGAGCGGGAAGGGACTGTCAGTTTCAGTAATACAGAAACTTAGATTCTAATTTAGGGAGTTAGAGACAAAATCAGTTCATAAAGTTGGTCCCTCAAAGGACTAGAAAAGACAAGGAATAAGACAATTGAAATACCTTTACACTGGGCTATGAGCCAAGCAATTTTTAAAATACTTTTACCACACGTGCATTTTCCCCTAGTTTGACTACATGTACATATATTGTACATATATACATATACATACATATGTCATTATTCATATGTACATATATACACACATACTTTAGATTTTCAGATGACTCATCTCTTACTCATTCACTTCAATTGTATTATATCCACAAACTGAAGAAAATTGACATCTGTACCTTAAGTCTTTCCATCTAGGAATAAAGTATGTCTCATAATTATTTCAGGCTTTTTAAGTTACCTCTTGGTTTTTTTAGTATTAAATTACAGCCTATTTTTCTTTTATAATAGAAGCCAAAAATTTTACAATTATCTTTATTTAGCAAAAGACATAAGCTAAAAATTCTCAAAGGGGAATTTAAAACAGCAAAACATTAATCTAGCTGGGAAACAACTACTGACCCACCCAGCCTCCCACAAATCAGCAGATCTTTGTGTCACTAGAGAGTCTTCATGATAAACTGCTGAGTAAAAAGAGCAAACTATACAACAGAATGCACAGAATTGGCCCATTTTATCTAAAAATATCACATTTATATATAGTACATACTAACTATAGTATGTATATAGAAAAGCATCTAGAGTAATAGTTAGAGCTATCAATTTTTAAAATTTTTTTTTATGAGTTTGAGTCAAACTGACAACATTTACCAGGGAGCAAGATCTCAAATGCTCCCTATAGCTATCAAGTTATTCTTTGTGCTTGTCTGTGGGAAATAGGCACGTTCTATATTACTTGAAACTCACCCCAAATATATTATAATTTTGTTCCATTTTTAAAACTAATAAACTTTTTTTCATTTTCTTTTTAGAAGGAGTTAAATTAAGGACACAGGTGAACAGTTTTTCCAAATTCCATATTGAACTTAATCATTATACTGAATAATAGCTGCAAAACTACTGTTCTGAATACATACAGTTTTTAGCCAAAACCGGTTTGGCTCAGTGGATAGAGCGTCGGCTTGTGGACTGAAAGGTCCTGGGTTCGATTCCAGTCAAGGGCATGTACCTGGGTTGCGGGCACATCCCCGGTAGGAGATGTGCAGGAGGCAGCTGGTCGATGTCTCTCTCTCATCGATGTTTCTGACTCTCTCTCTCCCTTCCTCTCTGTAAAAAATCAATAAAATATATTTAAAAAAATACATACGGTTCTTACTGCAGACATGATACATAGCCCATAGTGCCCAGAGTTGAACCTCTGGTTGCGAGAAGTTGCCAAGGAGAGGAAAAAATGCCTTGAAGGATCTAAAAAGGCACAAAGAAGATGTTCATTCAGAACTGAGGCTAACATGAGGGATATAAGAATAATTTTCAACATGTCCCCATAGAGACAATTCCTCACTGAGACATGTATTACTGAAAATATAATGGGAGCTAGCATTTAAGAAACTGCATTTTTAAGGAGGACCTATGTAATACTTTCAACAATAAAGATTAAAACATAAAAGAAATTGCATTTTTGGCCCTGGCTGGTTAGCTCGATTGGTTACAATGTCATTCCGATACACTACGGTTGTGGGTTCGATCCCTGGTCAGGGCACATACAAAAACCACCCAATGAATGCATAAATAAATGGAACAATAAAATCAATGTGTGTCTGTGTCTGTCTGCCTGTCTCTCTCTCTCCTCTCCCTTCCAAACTCAATAGGATAAAAACTTAAAAAATAAAAAAGAAATTGTATTCTGTTAAACACTCCATGCATTCAATATCTCATTTCTTTTTTTTTTCCTTTTTTTTTTATTATTAGTTAAGGTATTACAAATGTGTCCTTATCCCCCCCCATTAACCCTCAACCTCCCCCCTCAATATCTCATTTCATCCTTTACCCTTGCACACTGTCAACCTCATTTTACAGATGAGGAAAAGTGAGTCTAAGAAATTTTCTAAAAGTGATTTCCCAATATCACAAAGAAATTGGCTATTTAACTCTATTTTATCACTGTGCCATGGCCTCTACATAGTGAGTCGACTGAGGACAAACTTTAAGAAGAGCATTACATCATCATGAAATTACCTGTAGGTCACCAATGCTGTCATCTTACAACTTGAACTTGGCCAATTCTGGATAGTTACATACTGTACAAAAAGAGAAGCAAGGATTCAAGTACTCCATCATTTTTAAAAGGTCATAATAGGCTGTTTCATTTGTAATTACATATATATTTAAAACAATCACAATTTTCAAATTACAGGCATAACATACCCAAATTTAGGTACACCTTCTTGCCAAAATATCAATTAGGTGAACCATTAGATATGTAGAATATGAACAAAGTCATGTGGAAAACAATGCCATAAAAAGGGGCTTCTGTTTAAAGATGGAGACCTGAGCATGCACCCACTCCTTCCCTCAATCCTGTGTACAGAATACTAATGCTTTAAACTAAAAGGTAAACACACAAAGAACCAAGCAGAAGGAGGAGGATAACTGCTTCCACAGATCTAGCACTGAGGAAGGTTAAAAAACAACACAACTTGAACAGAAATCCTGAAGAGATTTAAAAATCTGACACAGGAAGTAAGATTAGAGGTGGGGTTAAAAATAGAGATTGGTTAAAAGGTATCAAAGAATCAAGACTCCCAAATCTCGTCCTTCATCCTCCTGTACTGGGCAACCCACGAACATTTAAGGGTGGCATTACCATGCTAAAAACAGAGGCTGAAGTGATAATGCTATCCTATCCTATATAATAAAAGGCTAATGTGCAAATAGACCAAACAGCAGAACTGAACCGGTCGCTATGATGTGTGCTGACCACCAGGGCACGCACGCGGAACATGGCAAGCGAAAGCCGCAGCAGGATGATGGAGCAGGTGAGCAGGGGCGCCAGACCAAGGCAGGGCACTGGTCACTGCTATCAGAGCAAGCCTCTGGTGGTTACTGAAAATTCTTTGTTCCCATGTGCTGCAGCCCCATCTGGCACCCATACCCACTGCTGGCACCAGCCCCACTTGCACCCACAGCCAGCGCTGAAGCCACCGCTTGCACCCACTGCTGGCACCTGGCGCCGGTCCCCATCGCTTGGAGCCGTAAGCAGGTGCAAGTGGTGGCTGCTGGCCCCAATTGCCCCTGAGGGTTTCTCTACTTCCCCCTGCTCCTGAGGGGTGATTGGGGCAGCAGCCACTGCTCACACACAGACAGTGCCAGCCCCACTCGCACCTGCTGCTGGTGCTGGCCCCAATCACTCTGCATTATCAGCTGGTGTGAGCAGGGCCAGCGCTGTCAACGGGTGGGAGCAGCAATGGCGGGAACAGGGCTGCTGGCAGATAGAGGACCGGGGGTCAGGGGCAGCAGGAGGGGCCAGCCAGGGGTGTGGAGGATGGGCCGAGACCCGCCTTTGTGCCCACCACAACCTCGCAGCCCACAGTTCCTTTCAAGGTGAACGAATTCGTGCACTGGGCCCCTAATCTAAATATAAAATACTGAGACTCCCCTGCCCTCAACTCTCTTCCTCTAGTGGGCTTTCAGACTGTTGGCAGTCAAGCTTACAGTTTTCAATCAGGAGAATAGAAGATTCTTCTTCAGATAAATCCCAACCAGTTCAGGACAAAATATCTAATGACACTGACACTGAGGCACAATTAATCCAGATCACCCTATAAAGCCCACAGTTGACAAGTTCTATTCATCAGCACACAGCTTCCTCAACAGCTCCACTCAGGTATGAATGGACAGCTGAGGATTGCCATACACTAAGAAAATCTGTAACATCAAGGAACAGAAATAGAAAAAAAGACCAACTTGAAGGAAACAGAGACCTTGGAAGAAGATAAAATCTTTTTTAAAAAATATGTTTTATTGATTTTTTACAGAGAGGAAGGGAGAGGGAGAGTTAGAAACATCGATGAGAGAGAAACATCGGTCAGCTGCCTCCTGCATACTCTCTCCTCCATACCCCCGCAACCAAGTTACTAGTACATGCCCTTGACTGGAATGGAACCTGGGACCCTTTAGTCTGCAGGCCGATGCTCTATCCCAGGGGTGGGCAAACTTTTTGACTCGAGGGCCACAATGGGTTCTTAAACTGGACTGGAGGGCCGGAACAAAAGCATGGATGGAGTGTTTGTGTGAACTAATATAAATTCAAAGTAAACATCATTACATAAAAGGATACGGTCTTTTTTTTTTTTTAGTTTTATTCATTTCAAACGGGCCGGATCTGCGGGCCGTAGTTTGCCCATGGCTGCTCTATCCACTGAGCCAAACCGGTCAGGGCAGAAGATAAAATCTTAAAACAAAACCACTAAACTATCAGTAATACCTTTAAAGAGATAATAGGGGTTCTTTGGAAATTTAAATTATAATAGCAAAAATGCAAAATCCAATAGAAGCTGAAATAGATTTTTTTTAATGATAAATAGGGTGATAAGAAAAGATCAATCTGTCAGGATCAACATTTCCTGCCCTTCCGTGCCTCCCCCCACAAAAAAAAATGAGGAGAGAGGAATGGTAGGAAGGAAAGAAGGGAGGAAGAAATTCCCTAGAACTGAAGGAGAGAGGGATCGGGAAAGAAAGGAAGAAATTTCCCAGAACTGAAAGAAATGAGCTCAGGACCCCTAACTGGACAAACATTACAGATGAAAATATACCCACACCGAGGGAACACCTCTGTGATTTCCAAACACTGAGAACAAAAATCTTAAAGCTTTCAAAGTTAAAGATAAAAGGTCAATGACTTAAAAATTCTGAAGGGAAACTATTTCAAAACTAAAATTCTATACTCAGAATAAGAATCTCTTCTTAAGAAGCTACTGGAGGATGTGGTCCAACAGAATGAGGGAGTACACCAAAATATAGGCAGGCATGCAATCCAGGAAACAGGAAATCCAATACTAGAGAGACCAGAGAATTTCTAGAAGGATAGTAAAGGAATATCCTGGTTGACAATAGTATAGCAGATATAAAAAACAAACGAACAAATAAAAAACAGACCAGATGACAGACACAGAGGCTCTGGGCAAGAAGTGTCTGAGAAGATGAAGTGGATGGAATATATCTGAATGTACAAAAGGAGATTTGTACTTGTGGGAGTATAAGGAAGGATGTGCATAGGGACAGTGAGAAAAAGAAACTTCATTTTATGGAATGGGAAAATGAACTGATAGAGAATGCCTAAATTTGCAAAGTCAAGAAGGAGCAATATATCATTTAGAGATATGGAGGTAAATACCAAAAGAAATAGCTTTAAAAAGAGCTGAATGTGAGAGTTAGAATTAGCTATATACTCAATGCTTGCATGTAACTTTTTTATAAAAGGAAAAATGCAACAAAATGTTAGTAGAGATTAGCTTTGTAGGGTAGGGTATGCATGATTTATAATATTTTCTTTATACTTTCCCGTGTTTCTCACTTTCTACAATGAATACGTTTCTAAAACTCTTGTATCTGGAAAACAGGTTTTCTCTAAGAGATCACGCAGGGCTTTGTAGAGGAATGGCTCTGGTACCAGGTCTTGGAGAAGAGCAGTCCTCTGAAGGCCACAGGACACCCAGGGCCGCTGGTCAGATGCCAGGTGGGCTATGACGCCTGCGGCGAAATAGCTGACTTCCATTGCTGTGCTATGGAGCAAGACGCTGACATGCTTCACCACATCTTTGGTCACCAGCTCGGAAGAGAGTTCTCTGACTTCAGCTACGTTGTTCTACAGGTCACACGGAGCAGACAGTATCAGAGACAGGAAAGGAGGGCAGAATCAGGAACTGGCGCCTGTCCCTCTCCTAGTGCTCAGATCAAATACATTGGCAACACTTAGTTCCACCCTGCTCCCTCTCCATGTAGCCTAATACCCACAGTCCCACCCCCTGATGAGGATGACCAGCAATAACAACTGAGTAAGCACTTACTATGTGCCAGGCCCTGAACTAGATAAACAAAAATGTCTTTTTATCTACCCTGTCATAACGTAGAAATCTGACATTCAGTAAGACTAACTTGGCTGGGTAACACTAACACCTGGTTGAACTAGAATATAAATCCAGGCCTGACTCAAATATTAAACATTCTTAGGGGTCTACTATATGTTTTATTAGCTTGAAATTCAACAGTAATAATAGAAGGCAGGTAGTTCTTTATTTTATATATTGTATTCATTTTCTATGCTGTGTAACAAATTGCCACAAACTCAGTGGCTTAAGCAAAACAACACATTTTTCTCTCAGTTTCTGTGGATCATGAGCCCAGGCGTGGCTTGGCTGGGTCCTCTACTCTGAGGTCTCACAAGGCTGCCATCCAAGTGTCAGTTGGGCAGCATTCGCCTCTAGCCCTCGCTGCACCAGCAGATGACTGCAGCTACGAGTAACTCCACGTGAGACCGCACGACAATACAGCTGAACTGAGTTCAAAGTGTTGACCCACAGATTCATAAGTAAATAAAATGGCTGTTGTTTTAAGCTGTAGTCTGTTCAAAGCAATAGATGAATGATATACAATGGTATTTAGATTAAACAAGTTAACGCATGTCAATGCTTACAAAAGTGCCCTAGCATATAGTAGGTACGACATAAATGTTAGATTTCTGATTTCTTAAGTAATTAGAATTAACTCAAAACAAAACCTTACCAAAAGTCCAAGTACTTTGCTTTGTATTGGTGATCTTGAAAAAGTCTGTTAAAAGAATATATAGTTACTTTATCATGAAGAAAAGAACTTTACATATAAATTCAGTCTTGAATTACTACCTCCAAAACTTGAATGAAGACTGCCAATCCTTGATTTTCCATAAAGTGCTTGCAGGCAACTGGAGACTCATCTGTAAGATTCCAAAGTGCTTTCAAAGCAAACAAGAGGGTGACATCATCTAAATTTTCAGTAGTCTTTTGTTTTACTATTGCTAGAAGTTCCTACAAACAAAGAGACAGGGAGTGAGATGCCCTAATGACTAACTCAATTCCATTAAAAGAAAAGCCACAGTTAAGAAAAGCTATAGGATCAAATCAAATCAAATAACAAGTTCTACTACTTAAAAGCTTTGTGATCCATTTTTCCCTATAAAATGAATTATACCTATCTCCTAGGGTTTTTATGAGGATTAAATGGAAAAAAAATTGAAGTTTAATGAGCACTTCAATCTAGTTCTTGGTGGTTGTTAATAAATCTATAGTCAAGTATGTATTAGCTTTCCATTATTCATTTATTGAGAATGTCTAGTCATCACCTTCTGGAAGTCAGACATTTATTCAGATAAGAGAGACAAATCAAAACAATGGTTTTTCTCAACTACATAAAATAAATTTAAATTTTGGTAAATGCTCTGAAGGAAACACATTAAAGAATTTACTTAGAGCCCTAGCTGGTTTGGCTCAATGGATAGAGCATCAGCCTGCATACTAAAGGGTTCAATTCCAGTCAAGGGCACATGTCCAAATTGCGGGCTCAATCCCCAGTAGGGGACATGCAGGAGGCAGCCGATGAATGATTCTCTCTCATCATTGATGTTTCTGTCTCTCTCCCTCTCCCTTCCTCTCTGAAGTCAATAAAATAATAATTTTTAAAAAAAAGAATTTACTTCGAAAACATGGGAGAAAGGAGCCTCCATACTGAGAAGGGTTAGCTAGCTAGCTTAATTAGGCAGACAGGAAGGACAGAGGTATCTTTGGCCTGAGCAATTAAAACAACCCTAGATAGAGCAAAAGCAGCACTGATCTAAAAAGGAGACATATATAAAACTTTAGACAATAAATTTTTAAAAAAAGAGAAAAGCCTAAGGAATTAGAGGACTAATTCAGACTAAGAACTATGTCTTGAATCCTTTTCTCTTTGCAATTAATAAAAATAAATGTCAAACACACACACACCAAAAAAAAAGCAGTCCTGAGCTGAGTCGCTGGGAGAGTCACAAGGAACAATAAAACATCTCCAGCCAAGACAACCAAGAGCCATAAGGGAGATAAAATTCAACTCCAACAACCTGAACAGGTAAGATAGATATGTGAAGGGCTTTGAGCTCTGAAACTAATACTACGTAGCAGAATGACCAAATGAGTAAAGCAAGGGGTTCCTAAATTGAGGAAAGGTCCAATTAGAAAGGGTCAGGTCCAGACAAAAAACTGCTGCCTTTGTAAACCCGGAGACAAAGAGATTCAGCAGATTTTAGATTTTTCCCCTTTAGAGAGAGAGAGAGAGAGAGAGAGGAAGCAGGCTTTTCTCCTTTGGGTATTCTCCCTGCCCAGATGGAATTTGTATATGCTTCCAATAAACATTCGCATTTTTATTAAAAAATCTTAGTCCGAGAGTTTATTCTTCAAACTTCATGAGGACAAGGACCCACAAAAGAATCTGCACCCTCAACCCCACGTTTCAATACCAAGGCAATATATCAACTGAGACAAAAGAAAAAGAGGATGCCAACCAGGAAAGGAATGGGAACACAGAGAAGAGGTGGGGGGAGAGCCTATGCCAGGCAAAGAAAAAGGGTGCTGTTCCAGGCCACTGAACAGTCAGTATGGCTTAGAGGGTAACACTAACATAACCATTATGCCCCTACTAGTTTGAAAGAAACCACTGGCTCTCATTAACAGATATTCCAACATACCATTTCAGTTCAGAACATTTCTGGACATAGTTAAGCTGGTATTTATGCTTTCTTTCAAGCATATTAGAATATCATGGGAGAGGAAAACGACAGCCATTGTCAAGTAACCAGTAAATGAAAAGATACATAAAATATAACAGCACAAAACAAATCAGAATATCTGTTTTCAGAAGGAATGAGGTGATCTCAAATATTTTACCCAACTAAGATAGAATATATAAAGAGAGTTCATTGCAAAAATAAAGCTGTGAGAGCCAAGATAATATAAGCAAGGCACACAACACTGGTAGCCATCACCTAGACCAGGGGTCCTCAAACTACGGCCCGTGGGCCACATGCAAATACAAATACTGTATTTGTTCCCGTTTTGTTTTTTTACTTCAAAATAAGATATGTGCAGTGTGCATAGGAATTTGTTCATAGTTGTTGTTTTTTTTTAACTATAGTCGGGCCCTCCAACGGTCTGAGGGACAGTGAACTGGCCCCCTGTTTAAAAAGGTTGAGGACCCCTGACCTAGACAGTCAATAGAGTGAAGGGTAGCAAGACAAGGGAGGGAGCAGGGGACGTGAGGCTGACCCTGAAAGTAATGACTGTGGCCAAGCCTAAGGTTAGATGTTTTACATATTTTACCTTAATGATACTCAGAAATAGGCTCACTCCTATGACAGACGCCTGTTTTTCAGATGAAGCCAGCTTTCAGATAAAGAATCTGAAGCACAAAGATAAGTGACTTATCTAAGCTCTTCTGGCTCGTGGCTGAAAATCTGGTTTGTTCTCATCTAAAGCCGGAACAACCTAAAACCATTCCTCCAAGAACTACAGTGCTATTCCTCCCTCTGTGTCACTTTCCGTACTTGCTCCCTATCTATATCAATAGCTTTATTTCTCCATCTCTACCTCTGTCCCTGTTATCATTCCCAACAACTTCAATGTTCCTCCATCACATCATCTTGGCAAAACTCCTACCTTGGTTAAATCCTACTTCATGCCCCATCCCCAAAACTCTGAATATTGAAAAGGATGTGCTTGAGCCTCACTTTTATTATCTCACAAAAAATTTCAAAAGGGTATTTAATTGTCCCTGGCAATCCTACTATATTTCTCAATGAGTTTGCTCCAAAGACTACTATTTCATAATTCTCTCTCCTCAAACTGTAATCACTATCTCTTTACTTTTCTCACTTGATCACTTTATCTTATTTTTCACTGAGAACTATAACTATTCTTCCTAAAAACACCTACCAACCTACTTGTACTTGCATCGATGTAATCTGTCATCCTTTCTGCTCCAATCTAAAGCCAAGAGGTTTACTTCTGCTCTATATACAATTCCTATACACAAAGATTTGACACCAAAATTATTTTCTTTTATCTTGCCTTTGCTATCAATTTTTCCCTCTTTTCAAAAATAGTCCTATGATCATAAAATACAAATATCACATGATCTCACTTATATATGTAATCTAACGAACAAAGTAAATTGACAAACAAAATAGATCCAGAGACATGGAATCATGCAACAGACTGACGATTGTCAGAAAGAAATGGGGGGGGGGGGCAGAAGAGGGGAAGGCAGGAAGAGTTTAACCAAGGAACTTATATGCATATATGTATAACCCACGGACACAGACAATAATGAGGTGAAGGCCTGGGGAGGGGGCAGAGCTGGGGAGGATAGGGCCAATGGGGGGAAAAATACTTTCAACAATAAAGAGAATTTTTTTTCTTATATTTTATTGATTTTAAAGAGGAAGGGAGAGGGAGAGAGAGATAGAAACATCAATGATGAGAGAGAATCATTGATTGGCTGCCTCCTGCATGCCCCCCACTGGGGATCGAGCCCGCAACCCAGGCATGTGACCTTGGCTGGAATCGAACCTGGGATCCTTCAGTCCCCAAGCCGACACTCTATCCACTGAGCCAAACCAGCTAGGGCTAAAGAGAATTTTTTTAAAAAAAACAAAACTATATATTTGAAAAAAGCCAATAACCCAGAATATTAGACTATGAATAGACAGTTCTCAGGATATAAAATTCTTAAATTTAAAAAAAAAGGTTCAAGCTTCATCTTAAAATAAGTGCAAAATAAAACAATGTATATTTTCATGTAAATAATGTTAGCATAATGAGCAAACTCTTAAATTACTGATTTATTAAAATTGTCATATAAGTTTGTGGGGTTGAGGGTGGAGGTAATTTGTAGAAATATATACAGAAGAGCTAAGTTCTTATTTACCATAGCAGTACAATCACTAGATAACATCTAAAACTAATCACTCAAGAATTCACAAAAAAAAGTTTTTTAATTGCAGTTACTAAATAAGCATTTTATTCAGAGATGTGATGGTAAATACCACAAGAAAAAGCTACAATAGTACTTTCTTCTGAGGAGCAGGTCTTACAGATTTTTCATTTTTTAGGCCTTATAGAATGATCTGATTCTATAAAGAATGTTCATAAATTACTTTCACTGAAAAAAGTGGTAAAAGTGACAAACAACCTACCTTAACTGCCCTGAGGAGCTCGTCTTTAAGTTGTGCAGTTTGCTCTCTAGAGAGCTGTAAGCAAACAAAAAGCTGACAGTGAAATATCAGATCTCCATCAAAGCTCCATCAGGACTAAGGGGGAA